TAAAAAGTTTTATTCCCAATATATAGGGCTTTTATTTCTTTTTCTTACCCTATTTCACTGGCTAAGATCTCCAGGAGCAGGGGAGCAGACATCCTTGCATAATTCCTGATCTTAGGGGGAAAATGTTGAGTATTTTGCCATTAAGTGATGTTAGCTGTAGGTTTTTCCATAGCTGATGCCCTTTATCCAGGTTGAGGAAGTCCTCTTTTCAGTTTTCTCAGAGCTTGTCATGAATGGATGTAGAATTTTGTCATATGATTTTTCTGCATTTATTGCAATGATTACATGGTTTTTCTTCCCCAGTTTGGTGATACGGTGAATTAAATTGATTGAACTATGAATGTTGAACTAGCCTTGAATTTTTAGGATAAGCCCCGCTTGCTCATAAAGTATTATCCTTTCTATAGATTTTTGGATTTAATTTGCTAAAATTTTGTTGAGAATTTTTACATCTATGTTAATGAGTGATGTTGGTCTGTAGTTTCTTTTCTTATAATATCTTTATCTGGTTTTAGTGTCAGGATAACGCTCGCATCAAAGAATCAGTTGGGAAGCATTCCCTCCTCTTCAGTTTTCTGGAAGTGTTTGGTAGAATGTTTGATAGAATTCACCAGTGAAGCCATCTGGCCCTGGAATTTCCTTTGTGAGAAAGTTTTCAGCTACAAATTCAAATTCTTTAAAAGATACAGGACTATTCAGGTTATCTGTCTTTTCTTGAGTGAACTTGGTAATCTGTGCCTTCCAAAGTATTAATCCATTTCATCTAAGTTGTTAAACTAACTGGCATAAAGTTATTCATAATATTTCCTGTAGGCACTGTAATGAAATCCCCCTTTTTTGTCCCTAATATTGGTAATTTGCATCTTCTCTCTTTTTTTTGTTGGTCTTGCTAGGGGTTTATCAATTTTATTTATCTTCCTAAAGAACCAGTTTTGATCTCACTGGTTTTTTTCTATTTATTTTCTGTCTTCAATTTCATTGATTTTTTCTCATTATTCTCTCCTGCTTTCTTTTGCTCTACTTTTTCTAGTTTCTTATGGTGTTGATTTAAGACTTTTTTCCTTTTATAATGTAGGTATTTAATAATATATATTTCCTTCTAAATACTTCTATAGTTGAATCCCATGATAATGTGCTGTGTTTTCATTTTCATTTAGTACAAAATACTTTCTAATTTCCCTTTTGATTTCTTCTTTAACCCACAGGCTATTTATATGTTACAAACTTGTTAAAAGTGGTAATCTTGTGCTGGGATTATGTGTAGGATTTCTTTCTTCTGTATAGTTTTATGTTTTTATTGCTGTTCTTTTTGTGTGTTTGTGTATATTTTCCAGTGAGCATGCATTACCTTTCTAATTACAAAATGTCAACAAATATAAAATAACACTCTGTTTTATAGCACTTTATAATTTACAAAGTGCTTCATTTAATCTTCTAACATATGCTCAAGAAACATAATCCATATTTCACAGATGTTGAAAACTGAGATTGACAGAGTTTAAGTAACTCTCAATGTCCACAGATAGAGCTAGTTAAAACTCAAACCCAGATTTTCCATCACCCAGTTTTCACTGTTCTGAAGAAGTTGGAAATAAGATTTGAAAACTAAATTGGAATTCACCTTGTAGGTAGGTGGAAAGATTCATGGAGGGTCTCTAAAGCAATAAGTGACATGAGGCGTTTATCTCAGTATAGTTTTAATTTGAATCTCTGATTGCTAGTAAGGTTAAACATCTTTTCATGTTTATTCTCTGTTTCCATTTCTTCTCTGAATTCCCTTTTCCTGGCCTTAGATTATTTTTTCTTTTGTATTGATTGGTCCTTTACTTATGGATTTGAATGATTTAAAAGGTTCCAATGCTAATATTTTGTTTATTATATGTTAGAAGTATCTTCTCTCAGTCTTTTCTTTATTCTTTCAGTTTTGATCATCAGGGAAATGTGTGCTGGAGTGAGGAAAGTTGATGTGTTTGTTACAGGAGGAGTATTGGTTTATTTTGACCTGGTATGATGACAAGCAGGACATAGAAGAGGATGGGATTAGAAGATAAAACACTTGATTTGGAAATTCAATTTACCAGTCATTTGTCAATTGATTATATTTATTGGCCACAGTGTATTAGGCCATGTGATGGATAGAGAGTACAGAATAGATGTTGCCTACTTTTGAGGATGCTGATGGAGAAATAAGACATGTAAAGTAAGACAGATAACATGGTATGTACTCAAGTGAACTATGGTATAAGATAGCCCAAAATTTCTGTTCCATTAAAGGGCAGTGAATGGTTTGAGTTAATTAGGAGGTGTTCATGCAAGAGGAATTCTATAAATTGAATAGGAAGGGACTAGATGTAAAAATTTCTGCTCATTGTTTTATCTCCAGCACTTAGTGTAGTGCCTGATAGTCAGTGCTCAAATATTTGTTTAATAATTTCATGACATTAGCACATGTAGGCAAAGCCATTTGTAGAGACCTAACACAATGGGCACAGTCTGTTGCTTCTAAATCACCACCAAACAGTTCTGAGAATGTTCTGATATATCCACATTTCAGACAATAGCTTGCATTTCCAAAGAAAGGGAACACACCCTTTGGGGGAAAAAAGGCACATGATATGCTCCTTTATCTTACCATTGTAACAGAGCAGTAGTTAAGATTTGAGCTTCCCTGTCAGACAAACGTGGGTTTGAGTCCCATATCAGTTTCTTACTGGTTATGTGACCCTTGATTTTCCTCATCTATAAAATGAGACTAATAGTTGTACCTACCTTATGAGTCATTGTGAGGATTCAGTGAGCAAAGTATGTAAAACACTGAGCCCATAGTAGGAGCTCTGTAAATGCTCGCTATACCTCTTCCCTTGATAAGTACTAAAATGGATGGAACCTGTGATTGCCTTTGAATTTTGTGACTTGGTCCATGTTTTATAACAGGTGTATTTTCCATCTCCTTCCCTACAGATTCAGAGACCTATTGTGTGTTTCAAGACAAGAAGTACAGAGTGGGTGAGAGATGGCATCCTTACCTGGAACCTTATGGGTTGGTTTACTGCGTGAACTGCATCTGCTCAGAGGTACAATCCCTCATGGCATGTGATCCCCCAGTTTGTTCCTCAGCATGAAGAGGGGCTTTTAGTACCCCGATGGCCAAGGAGCACAGGTGATAAAAGCCTAAAATAAATTAAGAAGCAGATTGCAAGGAAAAATAAACATCTCCTGTCTTTTATCCTCTGTTGTTTGGGGCTTGATTTTTATGGGCTCTTTGAGTATTTGCTATGGACAGATACTTATGGTCTCTTAGCCTAATGATAAAGGACATGGTGGGAGAAGGCAGAAGAGCTTGATAATGGGAGTGGGGGGAAAAGCTCAATATAATGCTTGGATTATAAGACAAAATAGTGTTTGAAAACTATTTTCAAGGCTGACCTTATAGAGATTAGGTCAGATTATAAACTGGTTCATTGGGAGAGTAGATTTTATGTTGTCTCAGCCAGTAACTGTAATTAAGACTGAGTTTGTGAAACATTAGCCTCTACTTGGTAAGGATTAGAGTTCTTTTGGCATGGCTTTGGCTCCTGTCCAGTAACCCAAAGAAGCTAGTGGACAACTTAAATACTGTCTTTGCAATAACTAAGGCAGGTAGTTCCATCTTCTTTTCATAGCCTTGACCCAGGACTACTTCTGGGTGTGTGGTCCCTCTTTCTGAACAACCCTCTACCATAATAATATAGGCCACGGTTTCTCAACCTCTGCACTATTGACATTTGGGGGCAGATAATTTCTTGTGGTAGGAAGCTGACCTGTGCATTGTAGAATATTTAGCAGCATCCCTGGCCTCTACCCACTAGACAGTAGTACCAATTCTAGTTGTGACAACCAAAAATGTCTCCAGACGTGGCCCAGTTGCCTAGGGAGCAGAATCACCCCTGGTGGAGAAACACTGTACTAGGCCAGTTGGGAAGGAAGACCTTGTACAAGGGCTTGAGAATTGAGAATTCTGAACATATACAAAGAATTTTCAAGACCAGCCTCTTACTTGAGATCTTATGTAAGGAAATGCAACTCCTCCCTCATGCCTAGCTAGAATAGGAGTAGCCACTTGCAGGCCTGATACTTTCACCATTTGGACAGAATTTTGGACTTTCAGAATTTTGAGCATCTGGAAACCTAACCTTCAGGCTACATAAGGCAGCACTGAGAGGCTATTGGATTCTAGAATAAAAACAGACCAAGTTTCCAGCCCTGGCTCTGCCACCTATGAGCATGTACATTGGACAAGTTACCCTAACCTCTGAGATTCCTTCAGCTTCCTCTTCCTTAAAATGGGATAATAACATTACCTATTTCATAGGGTTGTGGTAAAGATTAAATTTATAAATCCATTTAAATCACTTAAAACAGTGCTTGGTCATGCAAACAATCAAGAAATATTAACTCCTGTTACTGTCATCATCATTGTCCTTGTCATTGTGGTTACCATTATCATGATTATTAATCTATTAACTCTAGAACAGAATTCAGTATATAGCATTAAGGAGAATTCAGTTTAGACTGCGGCTGGGAGTTGTGGTTTCTGATGTGCTTCAGTGATCTCACTTCCAGGTGATACCACCTGGCTCTGAAAAGTATGATACATAAGGGGCCTCTGTGGTGTTTCCAGATGTAACACTCCAAAAAGTTATTGTAGAAAGTACATGAGAAAGGGAAAAGGTTGTGATAAGGTGATTCTGGATAGATAAAAGAAGCCTGCTTCTTTAAATGACTAGGACATGTATTAAATAGAGCATTTGGGGACTGATTAACTGCCTGGTGTGGCCTGATTTTGTCAGATTCCTGACCCAACACATTGGAGACAGACAGCTAACCATTTGGGGGGTGAGGCTTTGATGTCTGCAGGGCAGTGGAAATGTTAATGTGATCCCAATGCCAACAGCTCAAGCACTAGACATCTTCTTTTTCTCCATTCTCTTCACTGCCCTCTTTCCCCACAACAGCCTGACAGATACAAGCAGTTTTTGCTTCAAATGAATTATGGATGGAAAATGTAAATGTAAAATTGATTTCCAGAGTCTTCCTTTGTTCTAGCAATTGTTGTGAGCTGTCAGAGCTAGGGATCTTGTAATTGTAAATCAGGCAGGGACTCAGCTGCCCCACCCAGGCATACTACCTAATCAGCTCAATTCCAAACTCTAGCCTGTTGTCAGAAGAATTTTGGCTGAAAAAGGAAAGGAGGAGAAGAGTCACTCAGTCTGTGCCAAGGCAGAGTTATGTGGAATCCAGAATCCATGTGCTAGAGATGCCTCTTTGCCCTGAGCTGGATAGCAGCTCAGGGGACCCATGGCCCATTATCTCTTCCCTTCCATGGCATTGGGCAGGTGATTATGAAATCAGAGTAGGCTCTTGGAAAAGACATGCAGTTAGAGCTGGGGAATGATAGAAATGCCACAGAGCCAGACCAGAGGAAGCCTCCCACAATTAATGGGAAACTTTGAGAACTGGAGCAGTAGTGATCCCAGCCTTAGAAAAATATTCCAATAAGCTATCAACCAACGCAGCAGAGGTGCTAGTGATGAGAAAAGGAAAGAAATTGTTGATTGCATTCAGCTTCTTGGGAATGCGTTATTCACTGTCTGGGTGGGTCCCTGCCTGACTGTTTCCCAAACTGGCATGATCCCAGCAACTTTTGAAAGACATTATTTTTTCTTGCTGCCTTCTCTCTTTTAGAATGGGAATGTGCTTTGCAGCCGAGTCAGATGTCCAAACCTTCATTGTCTCTCTCCTGTGCATATTCCTCATCTGTGCTGCCCTCGCTGCCCAGGTAAACCAATTTGCCTCTTTCTTTCCCAGCTCTGGTTCTCCTTCCTCCCTCTATACCTAACCCAACCCATCTCCCTAATTTCCCAGAAGGGAAACACGTCCAGACAGAGATAACAATAGGACACTTTTAGTCAGCCCATACTGGGCCGTAAATACTTTTTATAGCCCAAGCAGGGCACATTCTAGGCTCTAATAAGTTATTGGCTACCCAGTAACAGATTTCATTGGGCTTTTAATCATTTGAAGGTGGGTGTCAATTGGGGGATGGAAATTCTGGCCCAGAGATTTTCTGCCATAAACAGCTTCTTCCTGCCATGGGCAGCAGGCACCAGGGGAGTTGTAGCATGGCGGCACGTGTCCTATGCAATTAGTGCTGGAACTGCATCCAAGCATAGCATCTAAATTATGAGGGGCTATTCATAAATCAAAGGAACTGAACCAGTGAGGTTTATGACAGTATAAAGCTGCCTGCCTGCTCAATAGTCACCTCCTCCAGACTGCACATTTATTATGTACACATTGTTAAGAGCAACTCTAAGGGGGAGTCAGGCAGAGACTTTTTCACAAGGCTGTTAGGACGTCTACTTTCACGATTAGCAGCTAGGGTGTTTGTCTGAGGCAGGGGCTGCCTCAATGACACTTTGTTCATGTCTGACTGGGGCCTGGTTCCCACACCAAAAGCATGTAAGCACGGAGTGGTTCACAGAATGCCTGTGGGTCAAACAGCAGTCCTAGGAAAAGCTACTTGACAGTCTTGGGATCTGCAAAGTAGAATCCTTGTCATTCTGTAAGTTAATTCTGTTTCCCTTTAAGATGGAAATTCTTCAGCTGGGTTCCTGGGTGGACTTTATTTTTTTTATTATTTTTTTTTTT